CCCAGGTGCCCCCAGGTGCCCCCAGGTGTGCCCAGGTGTGCCCAGGTGTGCCAGGTGTGCCCAGGTGTGCCCAGGTGCCCCCAGGTGCCCCCAGGTGTGCCAGGTGTGCCAGGTGTGCCCCGCCGTTACCTTCTCCAGCCTCTGGGCGGCGCTGTCGTCGCCGCTGTCCAGCAGCCGCTGCAGGTGCCGCTCCTCCTCCAGCAGCCGCAGGCGCTGCGTGTCTGCCCGGAGCACCGCGTGGACGGCCGGCGTGTCGTCTGCGTGTACCTCTGGGACACGTGAATACACGGGTAAACACACGGGTAACACACAGGTAACACACAGGTAACACACGGGTAACACACGGGTAACACACAGGTAACACACAGGTAACACACAGGTAACACACGGGTAACACACGGGTAACACATGGGTACAGGCGCTGCGTGTCCGCCCGGAGCACCGCGTGTACGGCCGGCGTGTCGTCTGCGTGTACCTCTGGGACACGTGAATACACGGGTAAACANGGGTACAGGCGCTGCGTGTCCGCCCGGAGCACCGCGTGTACGGCCGGCGTGTCGTCTGCGTGTACCTCTGGGACACGTGAATACACGGGTAAACACAGGTAACACACGGGTAACACACAGGTAACACACAGGTAACACACAGTAACACACAGGTAACACACGGGTACAGGCGCTGCGTGTCCGCCCGGAGCACCGCGTGTACAGCCGGCGTGTCGTCTGCGTGTACCTCTGGGACACGTGAATACACGGGTAAACACACGGGTAACACACAGGTAACACACAGGGACACACAGGTACAGGCGCTGCGTGTCCGCCCGGAGCACCGCATGTACGGCCGGCGTGTCGTCTGCGTGTACCTCTGCACGGGTAAACACGGGTAAACACACAGGTAACACACAGGTAACACACAGTAACACACAGGTAACACACGGGTAACACACGGGTAACACACGGGTAACACACAGGGGTAACACAGGTAACACACGGGTAACACACAGGTAACACACAGGTAACACAGGTAACACACAGGTAGCAGACTGATAACGCACGTGTAACACACGGGTAACACACGCCTAACACACGTGTAACACACATGTAACACGCGTGTAGCGCGCGGGCGCGCGCCCACCTTGCTCGCAGAGCAGCACGTCGATGTTGGGCGGGATGTTGAGGGCGCGGTTGGCGATGTGCTTCAGCAGCGTCGTCTTCCCCTTCCTGCCCCAAAATCCCCCAAATTCACCCCAAAATAACCCAAAAACCACCCAAAACCCGACAGATACCCCGGACCCCAAAAATAACCCCAAAACAACCCAAAACACCCCCAAATTCACCCCAAAATAACCCAAAAACAACCCCAAACCCGACAGATACCCCAAACCCCAAAAATAACCCCAAAAAAACCCAAAAAACCCCAAATTCACCCCAAAATAACCCAAAAACAACCCAAAACCCGACAGCTACCCCGAACCCCAAAAATAACCCCAAAACAACCCAAAAAAACCCCTAAATTCACCCCAAAATAACCCAAAAACAACCCAAAACCCGACAGCTACCCCGAACCCCAAAACAACCCAAAACAACCCAAAAAAACCCCTAAATTCACCCCAAAATAACCCAAAACCCAACGACTACCCCGAACCCCAAAAATAACCCCAAAACAACCCAAAAAAACCCCAAAAAAAACCCTAAATTCACCCCAAAATAACCCAAAAGCCAACAGCTACCCCGAACCCCAAAAATAACCCCAAAACAACCCAAAACAACCCAAAAAAACCCTAAATTCACCCCAAAATAACCCAAAAACAACCCAAAACCCAACAACTACCCTAAAACCCCAAAATTAACCCAAAAATAACCCACAACCTCCACAAATAACCCAAGAGTATCCCAAAATTAGCCCAAAACCCTCAAATAGCCGAAAAATAGCCCAAAACCTCAAAATTAATGCCAAAATTAACCCCAGCTCCCTGAATTGCCCAAAATCCCCCGATTTCCCCCCAGAATTAACCCCAAAATTAACCCCAAAATCCCATTTTTTGCCCCAATCCGCACCAAACCCCAAAATCCCCAGAATTAATCCCAAACCCCGAGAATGAACCTAAAAATCCCTGTGATTAACCCTAAAACCCCCAAATTGCCCAAAATCGCCGTTTTTGGCCCCAATCTCACCCGTTGGGCCCCACGAGGCCGTAGAGCC